CTCAAAATGAATAAAACAATAAGATTGTAACACAAATATAATTCATTCCCATGATATGATGTCCAAGCTTCATCTAGACAATTTCTATTAACACTTGTTTTCTACTTATTCATAATGATTACAATAATACAATGTACTCAATATATCAGACATTGCTTTGACATTGTTTTCTACTCACACATAATGATTACATATTTTAAGACCTAAGCTAAAAATATGGTTGAAAGACCAAACACAGACCACCAGATTGAGGCAGCAGGTTTGCCAAAATGAATCAAGCCATTTCACTACCATATATTCAATGGTTCAGCAGCCAACAAAGCCCAAACTTGCCAATGAACATGAGTTTCACACTCTAGCTGCGTCATCTTCAAGTAAGTTATGAATGTAAAAAGGGGTTACAGTGCGGACTGTGATAAGCTGGTTTGTAAAACATAACATATGAAAATAGAAGCAATACTTTGAGATTATACATCCCAAAGAGAAGAAAAAGAACTGAAAAGATCAGAGGGGGGCTTTACTTGAAAGTCATTGAAACACACAAAACAAAACAACTGGGGCCAAAAATTTAGAAACTTAAATAAAAAACCAAATATCAAACAGCGTAAATTGACAATTAGGGGACACTAGCTATCACATATATCCCATTTCGAATTGTCTGCTAGCTGAAGAACATAGAGTGAGAAAAGATTTCCATTCAGAAAAGGTCATGACTTTTCAAAGTGTCAAGAAGAAAGTTGATGTAGGACGGAAGAAGAAGAAGAAGATGAAGAAAGAAGATAATAGAAAGAAGTAGAACAGAGAGAGGGGTGGAAGGGATTTACCTCATCCTTGCAAGGAATCAGTCAAGAAACACACAAAATTCTCCACAAAGAAATAAGTTTTTATTATATTACTCTCTCATAAAAATAGTGAGGATTATATTGATATTTGTAGGCTAAGTTCCCTACCAAAATAAAAATTATTCTCCTATTAAAATTTTAAAAGAGTTTTATAATCAAACTCTCAAATCTCTATCCTACTAAAACTCTATAATAATTTCCTAATCAAACTCTAATTAATACTTCTCGTCAAATAAATACTCCCTAACTAATATAATAATAGCAAAATAAATAATAAAATTCAATTTTTTAATTTAAACTCATCCAATCTTTTTTCGATCTCTATCAATTCTTCCCGACTGAAAAAAACTCTTCTTCGAAAACTTGTAAAGGCAGGAGCCACAGGACTCCAAGAGATGTGAAGAAGCTTGTGTTCCAAGAAAATAACATTGTAAATCCCCAAAATAGAAAACAATCTCTTTTATGTGTTACATTCTTCACAATCATGTTCATATACACTATTATAGGAGAAGGAAGCATATAAATCAGTGGAGACAAAATATCAACTCCATCTGTAGTAGTACCCTTTAAAATTCCTTTAATTTCTTTCGTAAGAACATATTTTGAAATCAACATATCAAAAATAATTAATCTATGATGAGGGGAGAACTTTTAGGCTCATCAACGGTATTAATTTCAGTTCATCAGTCAATTGAATTGGAGCTTGTAGTTGTGGAGGAACTTCTTGGGGCAAAGCTTGTTCAACTATTTGTTGACAATTGATAGGTGAATCAAAATCTACCTTGTTCGCGAGGCTCTTATTTGGGAGCTTAACTTCAGACATGGCAGCCAACTTGTGTACATCTTCATGTGTATATTTCATTGATGTGTGGAGTGAACCCATTGATGCTTGGAGCGAATCGAGCTTAGCGTCACGGGCTTCAAGTTTGACAAGTAATTTGGCATTGGTGACCATTTTGATTGAAGAAGTAATATGAAAAGTTGTAAAAAAAATTTGATTCAAACTATAATTTTTGAAAATTCTGTGGTTGATTTGTAATTTCAGAAACTTTTAGAGCAAAACTGTAATTTTTGAACTTGGGGGGCCCAAAGTGTAATTTCAAAAACTTTAGGGGTCAAATATGTAATTTTAGAAAGGTCTGGAGGGGTGTTTGTGTAATTTCAAAGATTGGGTAAAACGGTGGGATTTTTGGTAGGGTCAGCGGGATGGGTTAAAGAGCCTGGAGCTGAATTTTTTTTCCCTGGCTATGTTAGCGGCAAAAACAATCAAGAAGATGACAACAGATCTCTAGAAACCTAGGAAGCACGGACACTTCATTTTGGGCAGAGTGTCGGTGTCAGACACGTCTAGGACACGGACACGCTCGGACACGTTAAAATGAGTGTCCGATTTTTTTATTATTAAATTTTTTTTGGGACACGTGACCAACACGTTCAGGATACGTTGGGACACACTGGGAGACACGTTTTGAAATTTATTTTCAATTTTTTTGAGAACTTTTCAGATAATTTTATAATTAGGAGTTATTTTTATAATTTTAAAGGGATATGAGTCACAATCATAATATAAAAGAAGTTATAATAATTACATTGAACATAGGACATGAATATAATATAATTTTGGATATGAATACGAACTTATATACAAATGGAATAGTCTTTTAATATGAAAGTAATGTGAGAAAAAATAGAATTACAAAATTGGAGTTCTTGGAATTTGATGAAAATTAATATTACGAAATGAAATATTTTTAAAGTAAAAGTTGTAGAAGTCATTGATTATTGAATTATGGATGTTAATATTGTATGTGTATTAATATATCTTATATTATACTTTTCATGCAATAATATCATGATGTAAATTTTTAGAATTAGAAAAATAATGAATTAAAAGATTATTATGATAATATTTTTATTTTATCACATGATTTTATATAAATATATATATGTATATATATAAAATAAATATTATTTAACGTATCGCTAACGTGTCCGTGTCCTACTTTTTTGAAAAATTTCGTGTCGGCGTGTCCGTGTCGTGTCGTATCCGTGTCCGTGTCCGTGCTTCTTAGCTAGAAACATAACAACAATTAAGAATGATCGAAGTTGGACTTTGAAACCAAACTGATATAAGACGGAAGAAGAAAAAATAAGATAATAGAAAGAAGTAAAAGAGAGAAGAGGGGTGGAAGGAATTTATCTCATCCTCGCAACGAATCAATCCAAAAACACACAAAATTCTCCATAGAGAAATAAGTTTTTATTATATTAATAGTGGGGATTACATCGATATTTATAGGCTAAGTTCCCTACCAAAATAAAAACTATTCTTCTACTAAAATTTTAAAAAAAATTTATAATCAAACTCTCAAATCCCTCTCCTACTAAAATTGTATAATAATTTCCTAGTCAAACTCTAATTAATACTCCTAGTCAAACAAATATTCCCTAACTAATATAATAATAGTAAAATAAATAATAAAATTCAATTCTTCAATTTAACCTCATCCAATCCTTTTTCGATCTCTATCAATAATATTCCTAGACGTTGAAGGAAACTCCAAAGTAGAACATCCACTAAAGCCAAAACGAACAAAATCCCTCTATTGTGTTTGAAAACATAAAATGTCGGCACTTGGTCAGCAATATGTACAGAGATTCCTCTCAAACCTTCGCCTTAACAGCACGACTACGCCTTATTACTTCCCTCCATTATCCTCGCAGCTTACAATTTGTAAGACACCGGAAAAAAATAAAATTGAATTTTAACTACATATCATTTCAACCACTGGTACTAAAAAAACTTTGTCATATCGTCAATACATATCACATGGTTCCTCTTTCCAGAAAATTGAAAGCCCTGATTAACCACTTAAGCCTGCCTATGAATCGAAACTGTAGAAGCCTAAAATATATCCACAAGTTTTAAATCCTGTCCTCATAGCAAGCATATACAACTCTGAATGCATAGAAGACCCAACTAGCTTAACCTTCATAAAATGAATAAGATCCAAAGGACTAAGCAAACAATGGTTTGCTCTTACCTCATTTTCAAATCCAAAGGACTCAGAAAATTATTAATATAAGCTTGTGCCGTTACCAAATCAGAATTTTACCTCACTTTCGACAACCGAAGACTCAGGCAGGGCAGCAATAGGAAGCTGGAGTTCACCATTTTGCCTCTTATGCCTCTCGTATTCAAGAAGTGCCTTCACAAACAGAAAAATATCAGGAAAGAAAGAAAATGCTTATTAGGGAAGTTAATGCAAACAGAAAAGTAGCAATCCATATGATCAAGCTGATACCATGCAAAATTAGAGAAAGCGTTAAAAGAATCTGAACTACAACATAAATAAAAAGGTAGAGGCAACGATATATGTAAAGTTTCACACTTCATGATCCAAGGCTTAATTTTCAGGATTCCAAGTAAACACATAGCTCACCACTTTTTATCTTGATAGCTTACACACCCTACTATTGAACAGTCACACTACTAAAAAGATAACCAAGGATAAGGATCTGGATCCCAGTGGCATTCCCAATAACATTGCAGCAAATAACCACAATAATCATGCACCAAATTAAATTGAATTGTTCATGTAGGGATCAGTTGAGGACAGAAGCAGCATATTAACAAAAGAAGCTAAAAATGCATTGGTCTAGTGACTTCAACAAATAGGTCAAATATATTAAACTCAACTTTTCATCATCCATATAACAAAAAACTAATACGATGGCCTATGAAATTTCCATATATATGAGTTATCTGGATCGTGGAAATGCAATATGATAATCCTAATGTCTAAGTTATCCTGACCAAAAATCCTCTGGTGCAAAAGCATCCACATTTCACTACTGGGTAGACAAACATAAAATTTATTTTCACTTCAATTTAGCATTTCATGTCGACCAACTATGCCACATGCTAGCACAAGGAAGAAAGTAGATATTTAAGAAGATACTCCATAGGAAATCCTGCCTATGCCATTCAAACTTCCAATTAACCTCTTCAAATGCACATACCAAAAAAAATGATTGGAGAAGCAATGCATTTAAAAGACATGACTAACGAGGAAAGGAAATGGGTAACAATCAGAAAAAAATTAATAAAAAAAAATCTCTGTGTTTGATCATTTAAGGTTTTATCTAAATGACCATAGGCAGTCTACAAAACCAGACTCCTAATAATCTGAAAGATTATTAATCTCGCACAGTGTTAAACAACCATCTATACTAAAAGATTAAGTTGTTAGAGAAGGTATAACTTAAATATTTATACTTTAACACGTCCCCACACGTACAGTTTAGATTTTGGACCTTGTACTTGAAATTTTTTTTTGAACACTAGTGTGGCAACGAGTTTCGAATAGTGGACCTCCTTCTGTGATACTATATTAAACAACCATCTACTATAAAAACTTAAGTTGTTATACTATGTGTAACTTAATTATTTACACTTTAACAAACAAAAAATATTATACCTAATATTTGTCACCCAATCTCATGTAAAATGCTAGAATTCTTAACAGGACGTAGTAGTTTGGGCCTTTGGGGCATTACCTTCTCGTAGAAAATCCGAAATGTCCAAGAAACAGTTGTGCAGGTCCTGAGAGAGAATGAAGCAAATGAAACCAACTTCAAAAGAAACTTAAGCTAGCAACAGATTTTTGTTTAAATTTATAAATTCAACACCCAAAAATTCCTTTAGCCATTGATCAACACACATAACACTCACTTATACAGTCTGTATGGACTTTGTCTAGATGTCGATTTAATACAGCTTAAAAACTGAAAAGTTTCACAGGTCAAAACAGAGGAGGCTGTGCATATCAGATAGACAACAACTATGAGCATGCAAAGCATTGAGTCTTACTTAGGGGGGTGAAAAGATTCTCCCACTTGCCGCCACAACTTGGATCCAGTCACCTGCAAAACACAAATTATATTAGCAATGTCACAAACATCCACAATCCCAGCCTTGATTGAAACTCTTAAATCATGTGAACGAAATGATAATGCATATTGAATCGTATGCGTGTATCCACTAACCAAAAATCATCAAATGTATAATCAGAACTGACCAAAATATCCCAAGTACAGAATACAGACAAAATTGGGCCTCTTTATAGCTGGTAATTATTCAAATCACATCGATCTTACATGAAATTGTTTTCCTTTTTTTCTTATTTTTTTATTGGGTACTTAATCCAACTTCTATCACAAAAAAGTTCTGACTGGTTTAAAACTTTGAAAATGTAAAATGCAAAGCCTACAAGTGGAAACTACCACATTAGATTTGAAAGAGATATGAGACTTGTTATCTAAAAGGCAAAGCATATGCAAGCTTTTTCTTTCAGATGATTTTGAGCATTCGATACCATCAGAAAAACAATTCTGTGACTATACTTTTATGGAACTTCCTATCAAAAAATACTTTTATGGAACTTCCTACCAAAAAATACTTTTATGGAACTCCATTTAATCATATTTAGACATCTACTCAAATTCAATACCTGCTATATACAACAAAGTGTAGCAAGAAGGTGATGGCCAATAAACTGAAACTACAGTGAGAAACAAGAAAACTAAATAGATTAGAAAAGGGCACGTGCATACCCGATCATAACCACCTAATTTAATTACAGCTCTCCATAGCCTGGCGTCAGTGACAATAGTTAGTCCATTTATAAAACCAGACATAACAATATGCTCCATCAAAAGCAGAGGAACCTTACTTCAAGCAATTGAGTGGATGCCCATAAAACCTGGGGGGTTTAAATTCCATGGCCCTCTCCCTATAGAAACTTTCCAACTCCTTCATGAATGCTGCTTGGTCCTCTGGTGTTCCATCATCATCATCCTCCGACATCTATATTTCAACAACGACATTGCAATTTAGCAACCTACAGATTCTTCTGGTGTCGTTCAACTTTCCACATTCATTTTTACATCCAAGATTATGAAAATAATATAACATTGACTCTTTCGCTTCAATTCTTTTCTGTGAATACTGCAAGTACCTTTGATTCATTCATGCCATTCTTGAATGTGTCCCCACTTTGAACTTCAGCTTTGGCAGACGAACACTTCACTAGGAGGTTGGGTGTAGCTGGTTCATGTTGATTGGCAAGGGGAGTATCATCACCTTCATTTTTATCTACGGGGATTTCTTCTTTTGGTAAATTACTCTCCAGCATTTCACCGATACCATCAGTGCCAGCAGCCACCAAAGCAGTGGTTGTATTGTCAGGCTCCTTTGGCTCATCTACCAATTCCTTCTTCCCACTCATAGGAACCTTATCCACAGGCAATTCAACAGGAGGTTTCCCAATTTCACTAGTGTTTTTCTCCTCTGAAGCATTGTCACTAGCGTATTGGTCCGGTACAACGTTTTTGCCAGGGCTTGGATCCTTTTTTACATTGTTTTGGTCCTCTGCCCTTTCTTCACAGGAATTTTGATCCTCCGGGGCCTCTGGATGGGACAATTGCTCCTGTTGGGGATCAACTTGCGCATCGACCAGGTCGTCCTCCGAATCTCGTCTATCACTAGCCGAAGCTTGTGACTGCTTCTCTACATCCTCCATAACTACCTCGCTTTTATCCATTCTGAAATCTACAGGCGAATATTGTTTTACTGTGTATGACAACGTTTTGCTATACGATTCTCCCTGCGAATAAAAATAAATACTTGAAGCAGACCTAAAATTATAAAATCTCAAGAAAACGACATGAACTATTGATCAGCTTGATCCTCCACTCGAAAAAACACTATCTTTTCACAGAAAGCAAACCCTAGTCTCGTCGACGCCAAGAAAAGGAAAGAGAAAAAAAAAACTGAAACTCGTGACTTGACGTTTCAAGACATGAAGAAAACTTAAAGAAAAACATGAATAGTTCATACGGAGGGCTCTTTTGAGTCCCTCAATTTTGTAAGTTAAATGCAGTACCAAGAAAAAAAGAAGCTACGTCTAGAGAGGCGTGCGTGTTTACTCAAGCGTTACCTGTGTTGGAGTTGGAGTGCCTTGATACCTATCGGCCAATCGAAGAGAGAGAGAGAGAGAGAGAGCAGAAAAAGGCTTCGAAAGAGGTGGCTGCAATGGCTGGCCTTGGTAGGGTTTTTCTTCAGTTGCGGAGTTCACGGTATGAGGAGGCAGTGAAATTGGGTGAGATGAGATATGCCGACTGAAATAATAGAAATTGATGTCTATTATATGGGAAAGTAAAGGTGGATGTGGATACGCCGGCCGGAGGCTTTAAGACCGCTCCTAACTCCTAACTAATATTGACATATCCATGTCTAAACGCCGAGCGACCAAACGAATCACCCGGAAGAACCCTCCCACACACACTACGGTGGCCTCTGCTTCTGCGGTTTCCTAGTTCAAAACAACGGGTTTGGCTCAACTAACATATTTCAATCTCCAAAATAACCCTATAATTGTCTCCTGAGTTTTACCCCATGCCAAAAAAATACAGGGTGTTTATGTCATATCGCAACACTTGTAAAGTGTTGGTTTATCCTCGAAAAGTTTTGAAAGGGACGTTTTATTTTAATAAATTCCCCCCCCCCCCCCCCCCAACTCAAATGCCTCACTTAAATTGTTTTCCATTTTTATTTTCAAAAAAAAAAAAAAATTGTTTTCCATTTCTCATAAAAAAAAAAAAAACAATGAATTAATTACAAATTATATCCCGAGAGATCATTTAAATTTTAATTTGTACCTTTAAAAATTAAAAATTTTAATTTATATCTTCAAAAATAAAAATTGTATTTGTATCAATACAAACCTAAAACTACCAACTGTCTAAAATTAAATGAATAAATTATATTTATATTTCCTCAAACTTATCGTTTAATTATTTGAACCTTCTCACATTTAGAATATTACTCATATACCTCTTGGCATTTATGCACGTGTAACATATAACTCTTTGTCGTTGATATCTGTTAATATAACCATTAAAAAATATGATTTCATCATAAAAAATAAAAAAATTATATTACCCTTTATTTTGTGAGCTCATTATATTCTAAAATTCAAAATCAAGCTTTATAATTTGAATGTTCAATATAACGCAGATATTTATATAATATTGTTTATATCCAATGTAATACATCACTTAAACATAATTATTTGAATGCCCAATTGAAAAACATTTTTAGTTATATTTGGATTCTAAAGGGATGTAGGTATAATATTTTAAATATAAGGGGTTTAAGTGATTAAGAGACAAATATGAAGGGGTCTAAGTGTAATTTAATCCATGACTATTAGTTTGAGGTGCGCATTGATACAAATTTCTATTTTTGGAGGTATAAATTAAGATTTTATATATTTGAGAGTGTAAATTGAAATTCAAACAATTTTTTAAGGTACAATTTGAGATTAACTCAAAAACAATTAAATGGACATGTAAGATTTGATTATGAGATTTTTATAACACACCACAATATTATTTTTCTTGTTACATCTCTCTTTTAGAATTCTTTCACTTAGGGTCTGTTTGGCAGCAGGAATGGAAAATAGAAGAGATGAAAAAATAAGAAGGATAGACTTTCTATCCATAAAAAAAGGAAAGACATTTTATCTCATTTTTGTTTAGTAAGATGGATAGAAAGTTGGAGAGATTATTTTTCTATTGTTTTGTATTTGAAAAAAAATGAAAAGAAAAAAGTCTTGCACAAACTTAATTTATCATTATACCCTTACACAAAAAATCAAATTTTCTATTGCAAATAAACTTTTAAAGATTTTAAATTGATTCAATTTATTTCAGGGCACCAAATGGCATGGTGAGTCCTGTTTATGGTACAAAAATGTTATTTTTTTGTACTGTATCTCTATTTTTATTCAATGAAAATATGATATGTTTAAAATTATTATATTTTTATGTTTCATTTGTATTTATTATTTTTCAATCAATAATTATAAATCATCAAACTCAGCAAAATGGTATCATATCAAGCCAAAATCTAATATTACTAACACTTTTGATATAGTGTCAAATTTTTTTCATTGGTGTTACTCAAAGTTGGGATTGCAGTTTGAGAATAGTCAATAAAAGGATAAAATATGGACCGTTACATAAAATGGACAAAATAGCTATTTATTTCAAAATTTCTCATGTGGCATGTTTCTAGAAAAATCCAGGAGTAGATATGAAAAATAGTGAAGGGTATAAATGTAATTACAGCAACCCCTACAATGAGCCCCAAATTGCTGTCTGATTTTCCGCCCATTTTGCACGGATACAAAATGGCGGGCGGAAGGGTTGTGCTTTCCACTTCATCCAATTACCAAACAAAGAAAACTCCTTTTTCCGTTCTTATTTTTCATCCTTACCAAACGAGGGGTTATTTTCATCTCGATCACGCCCTTTTTCCTCATTAGCAGTGTTCAAATTTTTGATTAACCGTAATTTTCTATTCTATCCGACCATATATATATATAGATATATTAAAAACCCTAATTCCCAAACCATATGATTTAAACATAAAATAATTGCTATTGTATTTATGAAACAATTATGATGGATTAATGTTTATACTTTTTTGTGTTTTATTGTAATTGTTTTAGATTTTAGTGTTATTGGTTTATTGTGTTGTTAAATTGGTACATGTTATTTAATTGAATTGTTAAAATGATCCAAAAAATAATACCTACGAAAGTGTTCACCCAACTTCCTATCCGATTAATTTGACAAAGAATCGGGTAAAAATACCACACTTGATCGGATAGGATAGACCAAGAAAAAATTCTTTTTCAAAGTATCAAGTAAAAAGACAAAAAACCATATTTTTTACCAGTAAAATAAGGTAAACACCCCTATTCCGAATGAACTCTTGGCGTAAGTTGTGCAAACTTTAATGGGCTATGGATCCGGCACCGATAGCAGCCCACGGCACCACCACAAAGTCCTCCAAACACCTTAACAATCGATGTCATGGCTCCCAATCTCATGTGCTATTCTGTCAAAATCTTTACTAACTAAAATGTTAAAGATCGTTTTGGTTAGCCCATCAACTGTCATTGATGGTTTGTTTGTTTTGGTGGCACAGAGAGATACCTTAAAAAGTAACGCTACTTACAAAATTGATATAATTTATTAACATGATAATGTGACAGTAACTCTTGAAATTTTTTATTGAAACTTTGTCATTAGACATATTATTATGTCAATTTTTTAGATCTCAATAACATTCCTCTAAATACTAGTTATCATGTGTAAATTTTTACCCGTAAAATGCCCACTTCTTCCTTAGGCAGTAATTTTCATCGAAGATTTTGGGAGATGCAAGGCAAAAATGTTTTTGGGTTGATGTTGAAAGTTGATTCCCACCAATTTAGCTGGACATTCTATATATATTTCCACGATCTTTGTCTGACTCAACAAACCTTCATCAAGTTCAATTGTATCCTAAGGACATTCAGCCTTAAAGTTCTGTTTGCATTTGAAGAATGCCTATCTGGTGGCACTTACAAAGGTGAAGCAAATGCTTGTTCAAATTCCATCTGGAGAAGCACTACTTCGCCCTTTCTTTTTTGAAGAAGCACTTCTTTGCTTCCCCACCTTAAAGTCTTCCGTTCCTTGATAGCTGAACATACTCCCCTTTTTGTCTTTATTTTTCCAAATGCATATAAAGCAACTCTGATAGAATGTGCAGGTGGGTCATGCCTGTAAGAATAAAATTAAGTTTTTAAAATTTTTATTGAATTTTATTTTAATTATGTTTAAATTGTAAATTTCAATTGCAAATATTTTGGTCCTAGTTAGTGTATATATTCAAGAATAATAATAATTTTGACCTTAAATTTGGTTTTATGGCTATTCAAGCCAAACAATCAAATTTATTATAAATTTATTATTTGAAAGTTACACAACTGTAGGCTAACGGTCAAAAGGGAATTGAATAGTTATCATGTGTCTTTGAGAAGCACTTGCCAAACAATGGCTATATAAAAGTCTTTGAGATATTTTTTTTTCAACAAAACGAAATCAACAGTACAAGAGTCCTTCTTATTGCTCATTTAAGTAGACTTTTAAATTGTTCATATCAATTCTTTTGACCTACCTTTTTCAATTATCATCTATTATTTTTTTTTTGGGCAACTCCATTCGAGTGAAGTTCATTCCAACCTTTCAGTGGACGTGACCATTGAGAAGGAGCTGTTACGAGAGTCTGAGTTGGATCTTGGAGTCACTGGTGTCCGTTAGTACCCTCATGTGGAGAGACTAAGTTGCTTTAGGACAATGATCACACACGTCTTTCGGACTCGTAAGTCAGCTTATTCCAAATCAATTTATTTAATTTATATAAATTGCATATATTCATTTAAATCGTATGTTATATTTTATGACATATTTATTTTACTCACATTATAACTCTAATATTTGTTGTTTTGGTCAAAATTCAGTAGCAATTTTTATTCATTCCAATTATAAATCTATGCTTAAAAACTATAATTATTTTTACAATGGCTTCCAATGTCCTCTCTTGTCACATTTTTATTGGTTCAGAACTAGGTTGGGTGGCTGTCCATCATGACAAAAACTTCTCTACAAACAGGTAAAATTTTCAAGTAATGGACACTCATTTTCATTTCACTACTATCTTCTCTTCCCTTGCCCTTTTTTTCTTCTAGGTTTGGTATCTTGGCTAACAGAACCAAGATGTTATGCAGGAACTGATGTACATCCATCACACACAAACATGCCCATTCGAACGTTGACAGAATGGAATATGTCGAGTTAGATGGAAATTGGACAAATGGAATATGTCGAGTCGGATGGAAATCGGGCAAATAGAATAGGTTACCTAGTAACTGATTAGAGACAATTTTGACCATACTGAATCAAAATGGACAAGAATTGCAACATGATCATGTTGTATCCATGCCTTGACAAAAAACCTTGAAAATTGTGTTTGCAAGTAATATGTGCATGTGAGAGACACCGAGTGAAAAATTGTATCTGTACAAAATATTTGGCATGTTGAAGTGTGTTTTTGATACCATTAAAACCAACTGTAATCAACAAGCAATTGGATTTGAACTTAGGATACAAGCAATCTAGATAAATTTTTTCTGGCAGTGAGTTATAAATGCTTGAGAAAAGTAAAAAAATTAGCTACAGAGCCTCATTAAGCTGTTTGATACCATTAAAACCAAATGTAATCAACAAGCAATTGGATTTGAACTTAGGATACAAGCAATCTAGATAAATTTTTTCTGGCAGTGAGTCATAAATGCTTGAGAAAAGTAAGAAAATTAGCTACAGAGCCTCATTAAGCTGTTTGATACCATTAAAACCAAATGTAATCAACAAGCAATTGTATTTGAACTTAGGATACACGCAATCTTGATAAAAATTTTCTGCCAGGAGTTATAAATGCTTGAGAAAAGCAAGAAATTAGCTACAGCCTCATTAAGCTGACCATATATCATCACAGCATTAATCCAAAACCAAGTACTCCATTGATTGCTGGTGGGGTCAGTGATATTTAGAGATAGGTCTTGTCTAGATCATCAAAGTAAGGATGTTCCATAGCTTTCTTTGCCGAAATCCGCTTAGATGGTTCATACTGCAACATTTGCTGCACCCACAATTATAAAATTTATGTATTTTAAGTACGGAGAAAACTGATTCAGCTTCAGATTAATTACCGTCAGTTGAAAATCCAAGTGATGGTTTAAGTAACTTACCAACAGCAGGTCTAGGCCATCCTCCTCCAGATTGGGAATGACTGATGACAGTGGCTGAGAGCTCCACTGGGGGTATTCATGCCAGTTCATTAGATTGCTTACTCCTGGCCAGACTTCTTCATTTGGAGTACCCAACAATCTGCAACAACAATTCCCAATACATACAATCGTACACGGATATCAGACATCAAAAGAGGAGGGGTGTTGGAAGTATATTATAGATCACTAAACCTGAAAATGTGGAGCAGCTGCTGCAGCTCAGAATCTCCCGGGAAAAGTGCTTGCTTTGTGACTAGTTCAGCTAAATTTTGGACAAAAACAGAAATAACGATACAATTAGTAAACCTGTCATTAATTGGTGCGTATAAAACAGAAATAATTATTATCAAACAATATGGGAGCGAAATTGTACCAAATATACAGCCAACAGACCAGATGTCGACTGCTGTTGAGTAATGGGTAGCCCCCAGAAGGACCTCAGGAGCCCTATACCAAAGGGTCAATATCTGCAACAATATTTACAAACAATTTATCAATAGCACGAGAATACTTTGTGGATTTGGCATTAGCTATGACGAAGAATAGTTAGAAAAGCATGATACCTCATGAGTGTACTTCTTGATAGGAAGTGTAAATGCTCGAGCCAATCCAAGATCTGCAATTTTAAGCATCATTGTTTTTCGGTCCATTAAGAGATTGTGAGGCTTCAAGTCCCTGAGTCAACACAATGCGAGGAAGAGGATTGGTTGTCAGATGGTAGCCTAAAGACTGTCAGTTATGGCTGCAAACATTTAAAAGATTGAAATTTGACAAGTGCATACCTGTGCAGTACTCCATGACCGTGGCAGAAAGCAACACCCTTACAAAGCTGGTACATCAAGCTCTGTTTTACGAATAACACACTACACATGAGCAGCAGATAAATAAAGAGCGGTGAAACAATCACATCAACCATAAATAGAAGTCAAGAATAGGATTGAAATTGTTTCGAATTCCAATCACTCCCTAAGCGTCATGAAAAAGGTCATGGCAACCCTCTAAACAATCCGTACCTTGATGTTTTTGGTAGGAATGTTCTCTCCTGTTTGACGGAAGCTTCGGATGAATTTTTTGAGGTCAGTGTCCATGTACTCAAACACCAAGTAGAGAACTGTCTTCCCTTCCTTGTTCTGGCCTTGTTTGACATCCATCAGTCTGTATATTTAATTACAGGAAAATACAAAATATAAAATGCCAAAGACAAAGATTTAAAGAATCTGCAAGATGAAACAAAAAATCGAACACAGAGGAACAAACATGGAATCCTATTGGAGAGGGAAATCACCCCCTTTTGCGTACTTGGATTGCAACTGCCCAGATATGAATCAAATTCTAGAAAAGGCTAATCGAAAAAACAAACAATGGGAAAATGCAGCGTCAAGAAACTAAGTGCCTTCAGTCTCTAACAATACAGGGCATAACAACAGATCGTCTCATATTTCAACCAGAAAAGTAAAATTCATGTACATGACAACAGATTGTTTCAAATTTCAAAGAAAATCCAGATATTGCAAGTGGAAAATCCAGATCTTGCAAGTGTAACGCAGGACCCACCCCCAACATATCAAAGGAACAAATCATAACAGTACACAAACAAAGTTCGAGAAATCAAGGTGGAAAGAATATATAATCAAGGAAAACAGACTGCAGATCAAGAAAATCCACAAGCGACAGTCTGAAACCCTGAAGACACAAAGACCAAACACTCCTACAACTTATTCAAACATCAACAAAAATTGCCTTAGATTTCATTATGATGGACACCCACCTTTACATGAAAGAATGTTCAAACCCTAAACAAAATACAAAAAATCGAAGCAAACGCCAAATTTCAAGAAACAGGACATGCGGGCTCATGTGAATGAAAAGAACCGGTAAATATTACAGAAAAGAACTCGCTGGCATGGAGATTGTTACCTGACAACATGGGGATCCCTAGAGAGCATACGCAGCAAGGAGACCTCGCGAAGAGTGGTGGGAGGGACACCTTCGTCGTCCTCATGGAGTCTGGTTTTCTTCAGTGCCACGATTTTCCCCGTGGCCTTCTCTCTCGCTCTGTACACTTTCCCATAGGTTCCCTCTCCCACCTTCTCTAGCTTTTCGAATGCCTCCATCGCTGACGACGATGATTTCTCCATCTCTCTCTCTCTGACTCAATTCTCTCGCTCTCGCTCTCGCTGAAATTGGATCGTAATGAGGAATTAGAACATCGGATGTGCGATTATATACACAAGGGCACTCTGCACGGTACTGCTTCCCCAACGGTATCATTTTTGAAATTCAAATATGATGCACTAACATATAGAATGTCTTAAATGCCCCCATAATCTATCTAGTATTAGATTGGGTTTCCGATTAACCCAAGTCATAAAACTATTAACCTTAACCTAACTCGCACCTGACTTCTAATTTGAGTTGTTTAAGTTCAATTCAAGTTACTTTAGGTTAACTAATTCGGGTTCGCAATTTGAGTATAATTTTGGACGTAACACAATAACTTGATAAACATAAATTAAAAATAAATTCAATAAAAATCCTATTCAATAAACATAAATTTTGGACATGACACAATAACTTGATAAACATTAATTTATTTTATTTTTAAATATGTAAAGATGTTATTTAAGTTTTACATTACTCTCCCCTATTTTCTTTCTCTCACTCTTTTTCCCCTTATTTTCTCTCATCATTATTTTCTCTCTTTATATTAATGTTACAACAACATAATTACATCAATCAGTTATACAAATTAGTTGTAATTGCCCTATAATACACCAAATATTTACTCATGTATTATAATAAATCAAATAGTAGTACCAAATAATTACATAAAATTACGACATCAATCCAATTTGTCATTCAATTTTTTTACATAAATAAAAAAGTTATACCATTTATTATCACAACATGATTACACCAATTATATATACCAAATTTGGTGCAATAGTAAAATTCTTTTGTGTAATGATAAACTCAATTTGGGACTATCAAACTAAAAGACCTTCAAATAAGAAAAATGATATTTTAGTGAAGAAAATATATATAATAAAACACATAGCAACTTGAATTTTTATCCCTTACATATTTTCTTCCCAAAAAATATCACATCACTAATTTTTAATGCATGTTTAATCATTTATATATTTTTATCTTAAAAACATCACATCACTCATTTATATCATATATTTAATCATTTAATATTTGATTAATTTATATATAAATACTGAAAAATTTTAATATTTTATATTTTATCGTGCCTTCAGGCACGGATTATGACTAATATTTAAAAATCTATCGATGAACACCTAACTATAATACATTTTCAAGTCAAATGTATTTATCTACAAAAGATTTTAATTACTCATAAATTTTCATTTTAAAAACTTCAACCCAAGCTTTTTATTTTTTGCTTTGGTTTGGATTGAGTTCACTCATCTCGATTATCTCTTTCCCTGACCTCTTTCTTAATTTATTTTTTATGTTCACTTTAATATTAAATTCCATAATTAAAGAAAAGGAAAAAAATAAACTACTGTTAAAACCAATGTTTAATTTTTTTTTATATTAGAGAGTACTTTGAGAGACAAAGTCACTGCTGTACTTGGATAATAATATATTTTTTTTCATAAAATTTAGAGTAGATGATGATATCAGTGATACATTAAAATATAATAAATATTTGAGTGCATGAGACTCTCACAATCGACAATTGATCAAAAAACGAAGAAGTATGAAACCAAACCTTCCTTGTTCGGCTACTTTGTATCTATCGATAGGTTAGGGGTAGTCTAAAGGGCACTTTTGTATCCTCAAATAATTATTTATCTCAGTTTACTTGACCCTCCTCGGTCTCCACTTAATTAATCTACAGTTATTACTGCTTTCCTGGGTGGGATTTCCTTTCATCACGATCTTGCACAACTGGAAAAATCTATACATTTAACAAATATTGTTGCTCTCCTCTTCTCACCTCAACTACTAGTAACTATTCTTCCACTTTGATGAACCACATCCAACCAAGCAGATGAGACGAATGTCATTAGAGTGATCAAATGTGGCAGACTTCTTCCTTTGGTCAATTCCATTCCCCGTCCCCTTCAGTCCCTAATCTATACGTTGCATCTACCTACAACTCTGCATGGAAATGGAAATGGAACACAACCATTCTAGACTAAACAAGAAAAATTATGACTACTAAACAAAAATAAGGTGACATGGTTGTGAGTGTAGGGGAGGCCCATTGGCGCCGTAGCCCCACCCTAATCCACCACTTTTGCTCTGTAGTAGTATACACAAAGGATCAAAATCGCTTAACAGTCCCATCGGATTCACCTTTTCATACTGAGCCTCACTGTTTGAACTTTCACTGACATTCTCAATTTTTGTTCATCCATCTCTCTTAAAACAGCTAGCAATTTTGCTCGATATGCTTCACACTGCAGATTTGCAGTTTCCAACTCAGCAGTTAATTCCCTAATTTTGTTGTCCTGATTCTACAAAGAAAAGATAATCAAATTTATCAGTACTGATTTAACACACAATCACAAAACTACATCCATAAATGAAAAAATAGGTGCAAGACAAGTGACACAACTTATTGCAATCCATGATCCCAAAGCCATATTATACATAGATGATGGAAATGAAATTAGAGCTCTCATACTAGTGTATATTATTAGACAATCTTTGAGTTACTTCTGAACAATTGCTCTTTTTCTATCACAGAGCAATTGCCTTTAAACCCTGGCATCTTGGTTAGTGGATATCTACCTTGACCCAGCCAACTCTCTAGGGAAGACAACTAGCTAGACCTATCATTTTCTAGAATGAACGAGCCCGAGCAACCAGACTGTGCCTTACATGTGCTCCACAATTGGAAGTAGAAATTCCATGCATCCATGCATTCAATGATAAAAGTGTCACCTCAGGTCAACACTACAAAGGGCTTCTAGCGCAACTGTCATTCCCTCCTGACATATATACTCAAAACTACACCCAAGCATTCCTCCCCTTAACAGAAAGTAAACCATTTTCTAGCCAAAATTATGCAAAGATGGGGCTTATACATCAAAGATCTAGCCAAGACATCAGAACTTCTAGATGCAGAGAATTCAAAGATATACTCAAGTAGGTTTACAGAGTTGATTATAACTAGGAGTTTTCCACAGAACCCCCATAAAATCCTATTCATATGTAAATTTATCTCCGTGCATCAATGGATAACAAAAACGTTAAATAACCTATCACCCAGAGACAAACAAAATGCCAGTCACAATATACCTTTCAGTGATTATATTGGCTATAACATTCCACTTGTGAAAACTTGAAAAGAAAAAACTACTAACTATTAACAACCTAAAATAGGGAAAACAAGAAGAGCAACAGCATATTACATACAAAGCCAAAAAAGGCCAAACATGAAATGTCAATCAGAAAATTACAAATGAAGATAGTATTTGTCTTATCCTTTACAGTAATGAAAAAACTCTAATAACATTACACAAGCTTTAACATAAATGCTCCATTAAGTAATGAAAAATCACACAAGCTTTGCTGGCTCTATTGGAATTCTCTTTCTTTTCCATTGAAGTTGTGTCTCCTGGTGAATTTTAATGGGTGAAAATAAAAATCAGAAAAAGACAGAACCTATAGTACACAGCACATTGTGCTTCTCATTGATCTGTAACCATTTTCCCTAACTAGAAACTCTATTGTGTTTAGTCTACAAGATGTTAAAGCAACATACGGACGAATTAGAAAATGACAATGGGTATCAGGAAAAGGCATAGTCAAGTGTTAAAATACAAAATACTAACAATTTGTCCTGGCACCACATCTTATCTATTCGTTCGGGTATGTCGAGAATACAAAAAACCACCACAGCTTATTTTTTGCAGCTTTCTTCTTTTATAATAATGCCATTGATCATCCATAAGGTGGCAGGTGCATACATGAGATATGGGTGCATTATTGTGATGGACAGCTGAACAGTGGGTGACTGCTTAAATTTGTTTGTTGGGACAGCTGAACAGGATATTTTTTGCCTAGTTGACTTGTTTCGTGGGATAATTCCCTTGTTAATGTCAAACCTTTTTCTTTATCCTCTGATTCCAACATCAGCATAATGAATGCATGCCAAAATGCTCAGGACATCCAGATGTAACTCATGAACAGGAGCAGAACAGAATGTCAGATCTTGGGAAAAGAAGGTAATGGGAGAATAGGATGCATGTGGGAGCTATTAATACCAAGCATCAAGTTTTGAACCAAAAATATTAATCCTGTAACCGTCAAAAGTTAATCAAAGAGCTTTTGGTGGGGTTCTGCCAGAAGAAATTTTTGAGTCAGCTCCTAAGAGCATAATAATGAAAAATGATTCATGTAGCTTATCCCAAATAGTTGGGAAAATGTTTTGTTTGGTCTTCACCCTTCACCCTTTTTTCTTCATCTAAACTCCATTGTTTGGTATGCTATAACCACTAGTCTAGAATCCTCTCTAGAGTTCCAGGATGCACATGTAATTGATTCTTTGTTTTATTTTTTCTTAATTATTCATCCCAACATCCTGTTTAAGCAATGCCAATTTCAAGATTTCATTTTATTTGTTTTTGTTTCTTTTTCCATTCCTGATCTTCAGTCCATGAAGCCTCACTAGTCACAACTGTTCATGAAACTTTAAGTTAATGATGATCAGAACAAAAGAAAAAATTACGCTGCAATTACATAATCCAATCATGCAAGTGACATAACCCCCCAGAAAATTGCACAGTTTAATTAGCCACCTTACTAAGTAACAAAGAACACTAGATTTATGCCAGATTATGTCAATGTAATCATCACTAGGATTTCAAACTTCTGTTGTCGTGTAACTGACATAATGTTATCCAAAGATAGCGTTTGTTGGAGAGTAAAGAGACATGGGCACCTAGTATTAAAATAAAAACACATTGACATCAATGAAACAAACTAATTATGGACTCAACCTAAGATAAAGGGTGATTGTTTGCGAAGGCATGATTCAACTATAGAATTAAAGTTAATGCAAAAAAATTATAAGGGAGGAAAAAAAAAGGATGGACCCACATACAAGGTTAAAACAATATGATTACAACTTGAGTTTAGCTTGAGTTGAATAACTTCAAGAGATTGTGTTTCTTTATTTGAAATCAATCATCGTATTTTTGGAAAGGGATGTAAAGCTTCCACATTGTGGGCATGTGTGGTAATGGCAATTATTTGGGTTGTATGGATGGAAAGGAATAGAATAATTTTTGAAGGTAAGGAAGAATACGCTGAGTTTTAATGAGACAAAGTAAAGTTCACAGCATCTCTTTGGGTAGTGGCATCTAAAGAATTTAAAGATGTGCCATTCTTTTCCCGTTAAATAGATTGGGTTGCGGCCTGTAGTTATAGGATTGCAGTTAATGATTTTAGTATGTATTGCGTTTTTAAGTTATTTTTGTTTTTGCATTCGCGGATTTCTTGTTCACCCTTATTGTAATATTTTCATGTTATTAATGAAAAGTGTTGTTTGATATTTAAAAAAAAAAAGGTTAAAATAATATGACAGGAAGTATAATTGAAAACACCCACAGAGAGTATTCTCGATTTCGACTGCCCCATGAAATAAGAGAACAGAGATGTCATCCGTAGTGTAGGAGCTCAAACTGCCAAAATTCTCAGCACATTCCAAGTTTTTTAATGAATGAAATCCAATTTCTTGCAAAAAATTCGGGAAACAAAAAATGCTTATCAATTTTCGATGGAAAAGAAATGGCAGGAACTGTAGAATGATAAGTGGAGCAATGCAAAGTGAAAATCTTGCACAAGGAACTGACCGTGGAGGAAGGCTGAGGCCGGCCAGTTTGGGTTTCACTTTTGTTCCCTTCCTGATCACTTCTGTTTGTCAGAGTGCTCCACATGACACCTGGAACATCCTGCATTGCAGCAGCTACCTTTTTTGCAGCCTCGCGGAGAGCATTCATTGCCACATTATAAACATGTGTTGTATCTGCCCCTTCTTCTATGTATTTGATGGCTTCCCGTCGGAGTTTGTCATGGCGTGCAGTAAAGGACTCTTGATAATTACTAGGCAATCCAATATTTTGCTCATCCAGTAAAACCCCACTTTTAGCATTTCTTGTCCACCGTTTCAAGATATAATGAGATGGCAACATAAGAACATTTGTTACTTTGAAAACTGCCAATATGTGCCTACACAGAATACCCGAAAACTCGAACATTTGGCAACTACAACTAGCTTTCTTTTCAAAAACATTAAATCTAATAAGCTGCACCTTGTTGTCTTCCCCAAACTTTGCCACCTGGTACATAACTTCCAATCCTGTATCATCAATTACATTTGCAGGGTTAGCAAGAGTCTCAACTAATTCCTCTTGAAATTTCAGGAATATGGTCCTGGTGTAAATGTTAGCAGCTTGTTTTTCCATAGGAGATGGTGTTTTTAAAACTGGTGCAGCATTTATTGTGTCATAATCTGCCTTTACTTCCTTTTCATGCCGACTGGCTATGGCTTTCTCATACTGCTTCATAAGGATGTGAATATTAGTTGAGGCATTCATATATCCATCAAAGAATGAGTTTATACTGTCACTTGATTGTGTTATAGACATCTCCCCGAAGAATGTATCCCGTAGATAAACCGGCACCCATTGCTGTCGAGAATTATACATTGACTGAAGCCATTCATTATCTCCAAGATTGTGTTTCTCAAGTAGGGATTCCCAACATGATTCGAACTCCTCAATTGTCTCTGTCTCATTGATGCACGTGTGAAAGTCTGCTTCAAAAGTGGGGCATGAGTGATACACATGGGACAATTTCTCCTGAGCCTCTCTGAATATGTTCCATTTACAGAAACGGTGACGACTTCCTGGAAGCACCTGGGCAACAGCTGCCCTTATGATCCTATCCTGGTCTGTTGTGATAGAGATGGGATGGCGTCCAGACATTGCAGCAAGCCAAGTCTGGAAAAGCCAAACAAATGATGACTCTGACTCATTGAGGAGCAATGCACATCCAAACAATACTGGCTGTCCATGATGGTTCAATCCTGTAAATGGGGCAAAGGGTACCCGATACCGGTTAGTCCTATATGTCGTATCAAAGGTGACCGTGTCCCCAAAGTAGTTATAATTCAGTCTAGAGTTTACATCAGCCCAGAAAATGTTCCCTGATGTGTTCTCCAAATCACCTTGAATGGCATAAAAGAAACCAGGATCCTCAGCCTGCATTTGCTTGAGGTAGTCGAAAATATACTGACCCCCGGTCCCGAGGGTCCTCTGTCTGCTGCTGCTGCTCATGTAATTCTGGCAGTCAACTTTTGTAAAACCAACATTGTTAATACCCCCTGATTCCTTGATTAACACAGACATAACCCCACTAGGGCCCATCCCAGCTGCTTGAAGTGTATCAATCAAGCTTCGGGCCGGACCAGATACATGCCTATGGGAGCGAAGACAGTGCACTTTATCTGGCGGCACAAGCTCATGATTATGCTCTTTAACGAGTTTCGTCACGGCCCATTTCCCAGAACTTTGTTTCTTGACGGTCATTTGGGCCTTACAGCCAACCCTAGTAACAGTACGCTGGCGCTTGGACTTGTTTTCGCTACCCTCCCGGCGAAACCCCTCTCTTGAGCACACAATTTGGCGGCAAATGATGGACCCGTCACGCCGCGACCTCTGGTATACACTGACCCGAGTACTAAACCCAATACGACGGGCATACGAGTTATAGAAAATCCGGGCAGCCTGTTCAGAATCGAATTCCATGCCCTCATCGGGTTCGAGATTGAGACCCCCTATAGAACTATCGACCATATCACCATTGAAATCATCATAGTAGTCTTGTTGTTCTAAGTTGAGACCACTGTCCTGTTCGTCGCCATCGCCAGAGCCCATTACGAATTCCACAATTTCATTTTCCAAGTTTAAAGGTTCAAAATCCATATGAGTATCAATCGATCGACTTGCAGTATTTGATTTTCTTTGCTGTCACAGTTTATGACAATGGAGTATCGAACAGTAGGTGGGCACATATCAAATAGGGTAGGAGGCAATAAACTTTACTGCACCAAAAGAAGTGGAGAGTGAGGGAAAGAGAATGACTGACCGTAGAGACGGCTGCGACGCCGAATGACATCGGGATCTTACTTAGGGAAGCCGCTGCAGTGGAGCACAACCATAGAATGAGAAGGGAGGAAAAAAATAGACTGCAGAGAGAGAGAGAGAGAGAGAGAGAGAGCGAGAGAGCGCTTTTGTTTTTTTTGGGTGGTTTTGGGGGAGAGGGGGAAGGGGTTGTCCTTTCAGTTTCGGGGATTTGGGGGCAAGAGACGGACATCCGACATCCTGGAGATGGTTAAGATCCGATGCTGCGTAACACACAATAAATTTTTTGTAAAAAATGATCTCAGTCGTTAAATTATTTGGTGATGATAATTAATAGTAAGTTTTTTTTGTTTTTGAAAAGGAATAATATGCGTTTTATTTCCACTGACTGATATGATAAATCACTGGCCGAGTAACAAATAATCCTTGCAAGACGCACTCACGAAAATAAATCTATGGTTAAATGTACTTTTTTTTATATATACTCGAGTAATTATCTGTGCTTGAAGGTACAGCGTAACGAAAAATTAGATTAAAATTCAAAAAATACTACATTACCTACTTGCAACTTAAAACAACGTATCTATAGATCTTACAATCAAACATAACAATCATTATAATTCACCATACCGTGTGTACTAATTAATACATACCTAATCATCAACGCATGTCCAACCACCAAAATATCAAGCTACTCCCTACTAATTTTAAAAAATTTAGGCAAAATTTCCTTTAAAAATAGAAACCCAGAAAAATGTAAACCTGTCTACAAAACTTACAATCATCATAATACATTATATCATCACAATCATCAATACATACCTAACTATCAAAACAACCATCATTTCATATCTAAAATTATCAAAACCATGCATAATTAGTTAACTTTACAAAAGACGGAACAAAAAAATACACACATGCACAAATAGAGAAATAATTTCATCTTCTTTATAGCGTACACTAAGTGTCCTTCAATGTATACCTGAAAATATTTGAAATATAAAAATTATCGAAATATGACAAAATAAAACAATTATCAAAATACGTGAGGCAAAACATATGGATAATACATAATTATTGTCATCAATTCCATTACCTTGAATTATCTAAAAAACAAATGAGCACACACATTTGTATGTAGTGGGGGAGAGAGAATGATTTAGATTGATATAAGTAAAAATTTAGAGAGATCGTAACAAATTAGCAATTTATTTAGGAAAAAATATGGAGTAGTGTAGAGAAAGACTAACAATCAAATAAGTCTTTCTTAGTATCATTTTAACAAACGATTCATTTGCCTAATAATTTCAATCATAAATCTTTATTGGTGGCAGTACAATGGTGTGTGAGTTCAATTTGCGAGTATTTGATTGATTACAGTTGTGTGTGTGTGTGTGTGTTGTGTGGCTGCATGAGAAGTAGAGGAATATATAAATCCTCAATAAGAGAGGCTTTCACACCTGGATAAATATTTGATCAATGGTGGGTTAGCCATCATCAAAAGTGGACATCAGTACTGGATTGCAGATCGTTTGAGTTTTCTTAGAAATAATGTCATCTTTCAATAACTCTCCTTTTCATCCCTTTAAACCTTTTCTTCATCTCTATCCTTAATGTTCTCGTATCAATACGAACACACTTTGCCCAATGGAGGGATGCACAACCACCTAAATTATTCACATAAACAATAAAATTAACACAATATATATATTATAGGAATAGTAAAGTTACTTTGAATAAATGAAGTAAGAGTATATTTACCTGATTACGCCGGCTCCATTCACAAAGGTCCATTGTATATACTCTATCGTTCTCTTTGACAAATTCACTTCAATCCTATAAAGAATGAACCTCTTCGTAAAATTAAAAATTAAAATATTGAAAAGATTAGAAGAGGTTTCTTTTTCTTTCCCTTTAAATTTGGCATTTGCTAATGCATTAGACCTTTTTTTCTCCTTCTATTATAGATTATGTATGGGGTGTAAGAAAATGCTACTTAACAGGGGAAAAAAATGAATGAGAAAGAGGTGTGAGGTAATTCTACCTCACGTATACGGAGACAATTTAGTTCATACTCATTACGAATTATTACTTCTACATTATTATGACGAAGTCTTCGAACCAATAGATAATAAAGGTTAAATAAAACGGTTAGATAAAAATTTTTCTAGATAAAAAGGTTGAATAGTAAATAAGCGGGGTAAAAAGGTTAGAAAAAAAGTAATAAAATGATGAGTAAAAAAACTTATCATACAGTATTTTTTAGATCGTTGTTCATCTGTCATGACATTAATGAAGATAAATCAAAATAAATAAGTTATTAAAAAAATCAATAAGAAATGTTTAGAGAGAGTTAATCAGATGATAAACTTACACAACCAAAAATAATGACATCATCCATCGGTCGATGATTGTGCAGTTGAAACGGTGGTGACTACACAGTAAAATTACAATGATTAACATCAATTACAATGAAATTTCAACTATGAAATTAACATCAATTATAATGAAATTTCTTTCAATTAACATGCATTTAATCAAACCTAATACATACACAAAATGACAACCAAAATTAGCCTACAAATTACACAAAATGAATACTCAATAATAACCAACTATAAAAGACATCCAATTAAAAAAAATAACTTATTTCATCATAACTATAACAGCCAAATTAAAAGACACCCAATTAAAAAAAATAACCTAACATTTAAAAAATCATTAAAGCAAGGATGTGTGCAGATCCAATTAAACACCCAATTTAAACGACATTCAAAAATCATTAAAGCAAGGATTAAAAAAGACACCCAAATTAAACACCAAAATTTTAAAAAGTAAATTTTAAAACCCCCTGTATACACAAACATTCAAAAACTACTGTGCAGTGTGTGGTTGTGTGCAGATGTGCTGATCTATGTGTGTGTGAGAGAGAGATATAGAGTGAGATATATCCCTCAAGAAATATCGAAGAAGCTGTCGGCAACATAGATAATGTTGCCTGTGATTAGATTATGACAACTCTATATGTAAAACTTGTAGATTTTGGTTCCACATTGTTGAACAAATGTCATGGGGTGGATAGGATGGAATTGGCTTGCCGTGGGTTGCAAGAATTTCATAAAGTTGGTTGCTGTAAGTGATCGACAGAAACTAAGATGGAGTTTCGGTGTTAAACAAAAGGCCAAAAAGCTAGGGGACAAAGGTTGATGATGATTTGGTTATATTATTTGTTTAATAAGTACCAATGTTATATTATTTGCCTACGAAAAAACAAACTGATTTTGCTTTTTTTTTGCCATCAATGTCATATTATTTGCTTACGAAAAAACAAAATAGAAATCAGGAATAAAAAAATAGTAGAAACCTATCTTGCTTCTATATGGACCTTTAATACATAGCAACTCCTTGAATACCCTAGTCTTGACATTGATAATTTGTTTTTGACCGGACTAAAGAGTGAATTAATCGAAATGTACATAAGGTGGTCAATACACTCCTGATAATTAAACCAAAAAAATAATGGTTTAATTTACGTAGCATGCTCATCTTGGAACACCCAGAAAAACTAAAGAAAATTAATGGAAAAAGAAGAATAAACTTGTGAAGGAGAACAACTAAGTCTTCCATTCTATTCTCCAAAAAA